TTCATTGTAAGTGGGCTAAAGCAGTTAATTAAAAGTAGTCTAACATAAATGCTGTAATTTGATTACTTTAATAAACATGTGACTTGGATGGATTGGATGCTGGCGTGACCACAATGCTCACGTCTGCTGTCGCTCACAGTGGTCCAAGGGACGCTCAGGGAGTTTGTGTGTTCGCTCACACACATGAAAAATTAGAGGGGACATTGTTCACCAAATGACTGATTATGTCTGCCCTAAGCTGACACCAGCTTGGAGCCTCAAAACACAGTTGATCCTAGAAACAGCATGATGCACTTGGTTTTAAAACCCCCTGAAGACCCCACAGCTTATGCTTGGCTGCGTTTTTTTATTGATTTTAGCTCTGCTTTTAATACTATCCAGCCTTTTTCAGAAGCTAAAACAGAGGACACACAGCTCTATTATTAAATGGTAAAAAATTCTTTTTTCACAAATGTTTTAACAAAAAGTCATGCTTCTGTCTGAGCATTTTTGTGTTTCCTGTTTTAAGCACGTATAAGTATAATTAGACACAAAATAATAGCGTGGTCTGGAAATTTCTCAGTAAAATGGAGGCTGTTAAAATTGGTGCAGGCAGCCATGAAAATTATAGTCCAGAAAGCCCACAGCCCTTATCAGAACAGTGTGCATTACAGCAAGCCACAGGAATTTTGTGCAATCTAAGTCATATCCTGTACTTGCAATATGAGCTGTTACTTTCTGACAGAAGATTTGAAAATTTAAAAGGTTTAAGAATTCATTTGTAACTTGCTCGATTAATGCTCTGAATAAATCTAAATGGTTTGTAGTGGTGGTTGTTGTAATGCTTGTCCTGTTGGAGTCCAGAACAAATGTCCTCTTTGGAAACAATAAATTACATTAAAAGAAACGAATGAATGAATATTTCTGTGGAAGCTTCTGATTTGATCCTACCAGTGCTTAGGTTTCTGCTATAGTCGGTTCCTCATCTGATCAGCAGGGGGCAGCAGAATATAACATAACGTAATATTTGGAATTTGTCCAAATTTTTCAGTGTTTAAAAAAAAATTCCCAATGTAGCCTCAAGGTTCACAATAGTACAAAGTCTGTAATAAAAGATTATAAATAAATTACAGAAATCATTTACCATTTCTGAGATTAAACATTGCATTCACATAATGGGCTTCTTGTTTAAATATATTCTCATTTCTTATAGACCTGACAGTTAGAGATGGCTCTGTTACCTGGACCAAAGGGCTGCAGGAACCAGGTGCGTCCTGCCCTGCCTGGTGAGCTGGCTGCAGGTTGAGTGGGGTTGAAGCCTCGGATCGTCTTAACGTCAGCCTTGTTGTCACCTGCAGTGGGGATCTCTAGCACTGGAATGACAGTGCACTGGTCCAGCAAGCCATCAGATGTCATCACTTCAGTGTAGCCATCTTCACAGCCGCACACACCCGCCTGAAACAGGAAAGAGAAATTTCATAATGCAATCTGTTATATGAAACTATGTAAACGAAACTCTGAGCAGCAGAGATGTGCCATAGGTAACACAAGGAATAAAAGTTTCTGGAAGTCAAATTATTTTCAAACTGCTTTAAAAAGGGAGAAAAGACGGCTTTGTGGTGTTTATTCACAGCAGATACCAATCAATCAACATTTTTATATTTTCTTTTTCCTTTTTATGGTTTGGTTTTGGTATCTGACCAATTCATTGCATTACATGTAAAGTTGATAAACTATGAGTTTTTGAAAATCCCCAGATTAACTTGAGTTGTTTTGGAGTCTGTTTTAGAGAAGTTAAGTCTTCCTGATAAACATGTAATAAGAACACTGCCTGATGTCAAGCAGTAACTGCTTCTACAACTGTCGCAGAGCGACTGCAACGGCTTTGTTGCCTTGTTTGAGGACATGTCATGCCTCTTTTCCACTAGTACCTACTTAGCTCAAACTGACTCGACTCAACTCAGTCTACGTCATTTTTAATTACAATTGAGTAAGAGTATAACAACCACCTAACGTGCATGGGGTTGTTATAGCAATGCAGCCAAAAATCCTGTGATGTCACTTGCATGGGACAAAAACAACACACAATCCAGGGCACTGAGGCCATGGTATACGTGCTGCTGCTGGTAAGTGTCTGGACTTCATTCCTGGACACGGTGCTGATTTTTGTGCAGCCAGTTCCCATGTTGCCAGGTTTCAAATTTTGATTTTTGTGAAGGAGTCGTTCTAATGCCTCAAGTGATGCCACTGACTGACCAGTCAGTCTGTTGATCAGATCAATTTAGATAGTTTGGAACCTGATCGAGTAGGTCCTAAAAAAGTACATAGTACAAAGTACTGTCACCTAATGGAAAACCCTCAAAACCAAGTAAAGCTGAGCCGAGTAGGTACTAGTGGGAAAGGGCTAAGAGATCTTTGCCAGTGGACTGAAAGTCCTGGGAACTGAATGTCAATGAGTAAGACTGGTAATATAAGCTAGGGCTTGTCTATTAAGGGCCATTATTAAAGCTTAAACTAAATTCTAAAATGGACAGGAAGCCAGTGCAGCTAAGCCATGACTGGAGGGATATGCTCATATTTTTAGCACCAGTCAGCAGAGTTGATGCAGAATTTAGCATCATGTGAAAATATGTTAACAGAGACAGTGGGAGACTGTATAGTATAGGCGTTATTGTTGACAAGAGAACAAAATAACATCCAAGTCTTTTACATAAAACTTGAAATATGGGTTGAGATGACCTCAATTTCTGGCAGAAGTGTTTCTAGATTTGAAGCTGGTCTAAAACTGATTTGGTTGCAGTTATTCACAGAAAGGGTGTGGGTCACTATTAGACAGTCCTGAACCACTTGGCTGATAGTGACCCACATCCGTTTTCATACCTTGGCTCATGTGATTAGGCAGATGATCAATAGCGGGTCAACGACCCTCTTAAGGGGCACTCTCAATAGGGCTTAAAAATCTGGGACTCTCCACCATTTGCTCTTAGAACTGAAGAAGCTTCTCAGATGAAAAGTGAAAGGTTTTCAAGAAACTTTAAAAAGTCCTGTCGCTTTTCTTTCCAAACTCCATAGAGAGCTTGAATGTGTTTTTCATCATTGAAAATTTCTGAAAATGAAAAGTTGAAAATGCTGAAAAACCAATGCACCAAGTGCCAAATTTCAACCCAGCCCTTTGAACTCCAATTTTGATTTCTCAAAATTCTCAAAACACTTAACCATACCACTTACAGCTCCCAGGGACGTCAGTCAGAATGCTCTTCATAGACGGTAACTGTAAACACCAAGTTCAGCAGTGCTTTTAACTGTATGTTCTTATAATGAAAGTGTATCCATGACATGACATGAGATGCACCTATGACACACGTCTGTGAACACGTATTTCTATTTGTTTGAACTACACCTCTTCTGAGAACATGTTTTTGTGTTTGTTTTCTGTTGAAGGGCAATTTCACTATCAGTGTGTGACTGGCCTGACTCTTTCATACATACTGAAGAAAAGGTTTGAATTGGATTGACTGAAAATATTAATGCAACACTGAACAATATTAAGGTAAGTGAGAGATATGTAGTTCTGACTGACCAAAGTACAAACTTTTTTGATGAGTTGTGAAATTCAGTTGAGAAATGCATCAAAACTAATTAAAAAATATGTAGACACAGCAGTGCGTACAAGAACAATGGGAAATGTGTGTGGGGAAAATGTGTTCCACATTTGAGAACTACTCAAAGTGATCAAGAAAAACTGCAAAATGAATTACACATATGAATAAACATGCTTTAAGTCAGGTATCATTCTTTTCAGAATTTTGCTGGACTGCAGATTCTTCACTGCCAATTAAAGAACTGAAAGCATTGGCAGTTATTAATTCAATCTGATATTACAGCATGCCTTCAACACCATCCTTCCAGACCATCTCCGAGACAAGCTTTCCCAGATGAATGTGCCTGATCCCA